AGGTCACTGATCCCTGTAACAGCAAATCCATTCTCACTGACCAGGGGCTACCCTTCACCTGGTTCTCTGGGAAAGGCTGGGGCTGGCAGCCCCTAGGAGCTCGTGGAGTTTGAGGGATGTTGGCATACGGGGAGCTAGTATTCTGTGACAAGTTAGGCATTTCCCCATAGTCTCCTAGGGACTTAGCTTTGTGTTAGACTTTGTTCCCTCCTTTGAAGAGACACATGCTATAGCGAAGATATGCTGCTTTAGCACTGGCACTTCACACTTGCTGTTCATTTTGCCCGGAACATTTTCTCCCACTTCCCTCAATCTGCCAGCCCTGCCTCTACCCCCTACCCCATATCACCAAATCCTACTCAAGTCTCAGCTGAGACATTATTTCCTCAGGACAGCCTTCCCTGACCACTCCTACAGTCACCAGTCACCTGTGTGGGCCCATCAATGCATTGTCCCCCCCCCCTCTTTTTTCTTCTATACATTAGATTTAATAACTTCTTTCTTCAAAAGCTTCATATTAGAGAATAAAAATTGGCTGACATAAACTATTTCTTCTGAAAGATTAACTTAAAAGTGTGCATTGTCCCCTTTTATTGAGATTTTTGGTTTACTTTCAGTCTGCCCCACTAGACTGTGTACTCCATGAAGGTATGGACTCTTCCTAGATCTCCTTGACTTCCCAGCATCCAGAACATGGCCCGTGTGCTCAGCTCCTATTATTTGTTGTTCAGCAAATTCCGCTTTTCTTCTACTGCCCACCTGCCCAACCCCAACACATACATGGGTCCTATGGATATAGTCATTCTGAATAATGAGACCTAGTCCACTCTGACTACAACTAGTCCCTTCCTTAGAAACTCTGAGAGAGCGACAGAGAGGAGATAGTCTCCCTAAGGGTACCTGAAATCTAACATGTAAAATTCAGCAGGTCTTTCAGACCTGGTCTTCCCAGCTGGCTAAGCCAAAGGAGCTGGTGGATATTTAGAAAGAATTAGGCAGAAGCCCAGAGAAGAAAGCCAAAGGTCCAAGAGGAAGGACTTTTAGATTATTCTAGACTCCACTTCCACAGCCAAAGTCCAGCTGTTTCTTTGCCTTTGGATTTGGGGAGATATCTCAGCATCTTTCCAGTAAATGTGTGCTTTTGCTTAAGGTAGTCTGAATTAGGTTTCTATTACCTGTACCCTACATAGCAGGCAGCCAAGATATGCTGCTTTAGCACTGGCACTTTGAATTGAACTCATGAACCAATTTGTCACAGATTATTGTTTACCTTTGTATTTCTAGAATCGACCATAATGCCTGGCACATTTTTCATCCCTAATACATGTCTGTTGAATGGCAACCAAATTAAGGCAGCCTGCAAACAAATAAATCGTCGACACCAACAATGGATTTGAGGAAAAGATTAGGGGAAGGAAATACCACCGTAGACTGGACTGTGGTTGTATGTTTCATAGAAAAACTGGTGCCTGAGATGGGTCCCAAAGGACAAGTCAGAAATCAAGAGGAGGAGCGCGAGCAGCCAATGAGTTGTCACTGGGTTGAACACAGCACATTCCTCCAGCTACTTACCTCTTCCAGTGATTTCTGCCACACATTCCTGTCCTGGAAAGGTTTAAATGTGAAGGAGTTAGAACAATTTTACCAAATGCATCAGAATGTATGTACTGAAATGAATGCTGCTCCCTTCAAAGCAGAGTCCATACTCCTACTCTAAAGAGGCTGGCACTGCTCAGAGCTTTTTAGGAATTTATTGAACTTGGAAGCACAGTCTTTAATAATTTTGTTGGTACTCAGTATTCCTCTGAAGTAAAAAGCCAAATGTCATTTTTTAAAGAGTCCAATAAATCCCACCTTACTAGTGAAAGAGTACAGGTTTTCATTTCAGATGAACCTGAGTTCCAGTCCCAATTGTGCCACTTACATGATCTTTAGCGAGTTACTTAGCTCCAACACCCACTAAAGATGAGCCCAAATATGGAGAGGGAACAACTAAGGTCAGGCGTCTGGGTGAGACTGGATTGGGAGAAAAACTCCTGGTCAGGGGAAACATGCCCACACTCTTCATATCTAAAAGGCAGTTTAGGGGGGGAAATCCCCACCACAATCCCTCACTCACCTGGACTACTGTTGGCAGGTGTCTGACAGCCATTCTTTCTTCTCTGATGAGCCCTCCTAGTGATAGGCAAAGTGCTGAGGAGGCAGATGCGGAGCTTTGCAACTGCGCGACTCCTCAGGCTAGAAATGTCTATACACCTGTTACAAGGAGATGATGGGTCAAAAGATATCACATAGTCCGGAGAGAGGCACCGGGCCTTCACGTCCTGGGAGTCCTCCAATACTGAGGCAGTGAGTTCTTTAGTCCCTATTTGCTCCCAATTCTGTCTCCCCCTTCTGAAGGTATTTCTGCTTGTCTCCACTGTGAAGTGAATGGCTCACCATGCTGCTACTCCCCCCCCTAGTTAAATCCTCCAAGTTTTCTCTTCTGTATCTTAAGTACATTGATTTCTCCTCGCAGAAAGCTTGCTCCAGCCCCAGTTCTCACGTTCTCGACCCACCCTCCTGGCTTTACCCCTAAGCCTCCTGAGGTCTCAAGACAATTGTGCCTCCTCTGGGACAGCGACCTAATCCTGGGAAGGCACTGAAGGAAGAGGGGGAGGAGGCTAGCTAAGAAGGCTGGATCTTCATCGTTGAAGTCTCTCAGGCCACATCCTTCTCTGGCCTCAGGATTCTCTCTCCGGGGCCGCTTGGGTGACCTGGAGTCACAGGTGGGCCAGTAGTAGTGAATTTGTGTGTGTCGGGGGTGCGGAGGGTGGGGAGGCGGAGGGAGGGGAGAGGGAGTTGGGAATGTGGTTACATAACCCACCCTCTCGCCCTCTGCAGCCTTGCCAGGTCCCCAGGGGAGCTGCTGCAGGGGCTGCGCAGCGGCTGCCCCTGCCCTCAGCGAGTTCCTTATATAGGACTCCGAACCACACCGGGAGTCTGCTCCACGACACACTCCAGAGGCCCTGACCCCATCCTCCTCCTCCTGCACTCACAGATTCGGACCCTAAATCCAAGATTTCCACACCTGGCCGTCCTCCCTTTTTCTGTTTGGAATCAAATCTCAGACGTGCATTCCGGGAAGTTTGAGACATTAGAACAGCGTCCTCCAGAACGGACCTCCTCGGCTTTCCCTCCGCCCTTCTCCCTAGGCCCGACCACCCCACGGCCGCTCGCCTCTCCCTTTGCGGCTTTGGACACCGTGCTTGGTCACCACCGGGTTGCCCTTCCAGGAGCCTCTGCCGGCAGCGAGACCGCAACAACCACATCGCGGTCAGAACACAATGATTCGGAGTCGGCAGCCCGGATCTGAACTGCGCTTGCGCGTTGCCCTGGGAACCGCCGAGCCGACTTCCCACAAGTCTTAGGGCTCCAGCACTGCAGCTTCCCAGACGCGCCCCTCAGCACCGGCCTGGTGGCTTTGGTGCTGAAACTACATTTCCCAGGAGCCTTGGCGGGGGCGTTACCGCTCCCCCCACCCAGCTAACCCCCGAGCGCCAACCAGAGCGTGCGGATTCCGTTCCGTTCTGTGCGGATTCGTACTCGGCCTCTGCTCTGAAGTAATGCCCAGGCAGATAAAGACCAGCGAAAAGTTGACGATAGGACGAGGGAGGTGAGTCCAGTGGAGCAGCGCCTGATCGCTGAGAGGGCGGGTCGGGAAAGGCCCCGAGGACACAGTAGGGGTGACAACTGTCCGGCGCGTTCCCGACGCAGAATCGCGCCGAAAAGACCTGACAGGGTGGCAGGCGTGTACCCTCGGCCCCGGGAAAGCGCCCGTTGCTTCCAGTCTGGCCCGGCAGTCGGGCCAGTGCGCAGCTCGGTCGAGACGTGACGGTAATTTCCTCTTGCGGGGCACGGAGAGGACAGGGATATCCCGCTGCGGCGACTCAGGACAGAGCTGATGGAGGCTGGAACCAGGGCGGTGGCCAAGGGGACCGAGAATGGTGCGTGAGAACTGTCCGGGAGGTAGAATAAACTCAGTTCTTGGTGACATCAGAGAGAGAGAGGAGTCTGGATGCCAAGGAGTCTATCTTGGACAACTGGGTGACATTCAGAGATGGTGGCATTTATTTTTGTTGACGATATTTTGTGGGGACGGGCAAGGATGAGATGATGTATTGGAATATCCAACTAGAGATACTTAGTCGCTTTTGAATATGTGGTTTTCATGGAGCCCAGGAAAGAAAGATGAGGGTTTAAACTTTTGTCGGTGGTGAAAAAACGTCAAGAACGTGACCTGAGGTTTGTCACTTAAGAGAATTGTTGGCCACCTTTTGGGAAGCAGTGCCAGTGACATTATTTATGTGACAGTACAGCATTCTGCTTGAGATTTTATTGAAGATTTCATTGTGTGTCAGGCTCTAACCTAGGGGCTGGAGAAATAGTGAAAATCTTGCACTCATGGAGGTTTAATTCTAATCGGGGAGATAGTCAATCAAATAGAAAATATTTATCTAGTAGCAATAACACAGTAAGGCTGTGTTAGGAGTTAGGTGTGATGGGGGTTGGGGATTATTTTAAGTAGCATTTTAGGAAGTTCTCTTTGAAGGGGGAACATCTGAGCAGAGACTGAATACAGTGATGGAGGAAGCCATGTGTTTATCTGAGGAAGAGCCATCTAAGGAGAGAAAACAGAAATTTGGAGGCCCCAGCGAGATATTTCCTTCGCACTCGGAAAATTGTCAACTCTGCGGCACTCCGGCGAGTCGGGATGAGCTCCTAGGGGAGAGCTCCTGAGAGACGTTCCTCAGCCCCAGGTGCGCTGCCGACACGCCCGGACTTCCCAGACACACCTCCGGAGAATTCCTGAAATCGGTCGCAATTCCCAACCTCGGTTGGTAGAATTCCCGATTATAATCAGGTCAGGTGAGTCGACTCGATCGGGAGGGGAGAGGCCAGACTGGACGCAGTCATAGAGGCCGATCCCCAGGACCCAGCAAGACGTCGCTGCGGTCCATCTGGTGACCAACCTTGGTGGCCAAATCAGGTCGTCTTAGGTCTTTTTGTTTGTCCTTTTGGCGTCTGGATTTGTAGTGTTGTGAGCTTGTCTATTCTGTGTGCCTGGCCAATTTTTGCTCCACAGGACGCAATGGGACAAGGATCCTCAACCTCTTCCTCCGTTTTGACCTGTTTTCTAAATAATCTTCAAACTTTCCAGGATAAAGCGGCCGATTATGAAGTGACTATAACCCCTGGTGACTTG